GCGACGTCTGAAACTTTATTGAGAATTAGCGCGCTTCATTGGATTTGAATAAATTGGAAATCTTAGTTCTTGGTGGAATTTCGTCACACCTTCCGAAACAAGTACGATATTCGTCCATAACGAGCACTCATTGAAACACAAAAACCGGTGACACTGTGGTTTTACTGCGTGTCTCTGCGTATCTCACCTGTATCCCTTGATGTCGGCGGAGAGGTGCCTCATGGCCACCGACCCGCGGTCGTCCACCAGCTCGAACGGCTTCTGGTTGGCAATCACGTCCCTCAGCCGGGTGACAAACTGACCCTCCGGGCAGTCGTTCAGCGGGTTGTGGCCTGGGAGCAGCGAAGCATCAGTTTAACGGGAGCTCAAGTCTCAAACGTAGTTATTGTGAAGACAGGGTAGCCATAGAAAACAGCCCCTAAAACAACAATAGGAACGAAACACAGCAAAACAGTTATGACATAAGCCTCCCAATTACTTCTCCAGACAGGAGTGTAGCTTCCATAATGTCCTTATTTTACCTACCGACAAACAGCGCCATGACGAGCTGCAGCGTGTGCAGCAGCAGCCGGGCGGCCCTGGCCACCTGGCGCTGCACACTGTCCTCTGCCGAGTCGGCGCGTACCGCCGCCAGCACGGCCTCGCGCCGCTCCCGCAGCAGGTGGGAGCAGGCGGCCCGGGCCGAGGAGCCTTCGAGCAGGGCGGCCGCCACCAGACAGGAGCCCACCAGCTGCGGAGAGAGGGAGGGAAGGTCAGAGAGGGCGGGACACACCACACAGGAACCCATCAGTTGATAGGGAGAGAAAAAGGGAAAGAAAGAAAGAAAAAAGGAAATAAACGGCAGAAATCGGAATAAGACGACATTTCAACGTCATACCATCAAACGCAATTACTTTTCCGCGTCATTCTCTCCCGAATATTTTTATTACACAAATTGCATTTCATCCCAGCCCCCATCACTATCCAAACTCACCAGTTCGTCCCAGCTCGTCTCGTCTCGCTCCACCCCGCCCCGTCTCACCCGGTCCGTCCCCTGCCCGCCTGTCCACTGACCCACCTCGAGCTCCCACCGCGAGCTGCTGCAGTGTGGCGACCCTGACGGCGGTCCGTCCCCTGCCCACCCCGCCCGTCCACCGACCCACCTCGAGCTGCTGCAGCGTGGCGTCCCTGACGGCGGTCCGTCCCCTGCCCACCCCGCCCGTCCACCGACCCACCTCGAGCTGCTGCAGCGTGGCGTCCCTGACGGCGGTCCGTCCCCTGCCCACCCCGCCCGTCCACCGACCCACCTCGAGCTGCTGCAGCGTGGCGTCCCTGACGGCGGTCCGTCCCCTGCCCACCCCGGCCGTCCACCGACCCACCTCGAGCTGCTGCAGCGTGGCGTCCCTGACGGCGGTCCGTCCCCTGCCCACCCCGCCCGTCCACCGACCCACCTCGAGCTGCTGCAGCGTGGCGTCCCTGACGGCGGTCCGTCCCCTGCCCACCCCGCCCGTCCACCGACCCACCTCGAGCTGCTGCAGCGTGGCGTCCCTGACGGCGGTCCGTCCCCTGCTCGCCCGTCCACCGACCCACCTCGAGCTGCTGCAGCGTGGCGTCCCTGACGGCGGTCCGTCCCCTGCCCACCCCGCCCGTCCACCGACCCACCTCGAGCTGCTGCAGCGTGGCGTCCCTGACGGCGGTCCGTCCCCTGCTCGCCCGTCCACCGACCCACCTCGAGCTGCTGCAGCGTGGCGTCCCTGACGGCGGTCCGTCCCCTGCCCACCCCGTCCGTCCACCGACCCACCTCGAGCTGCTGCAGCGTGGCGTCCCTGACGGCGGTCCGTCCCCTGCCCACCCCGCCCGTCCACCGACCCACCTCGAGCTGCTGCAGCGTGGCGTCCCTGACGGCGGTCCGTCCCCTGCCCACCCCGCCCGTCCACCGACCCACCTCGAGCTGCTGCAGCGTGGCGTCCCTGACGGCGGTCCGTCCCCTGCCCACCCCGCCCGTCCACCGACCCACCTCGAGCTGCTGCAGCGTGGCGTCCCTGACGGCGGTCCGTCCCCTGCCCACCCCGCCCGTCCACCGACCCACCTCGAGCTGCTGCAGCGTGGCGTCCCTGACGGCGGCGTGGCAGCTGGAGAGGATGGTGGCGCGGAACCGCTGTATGGCCGTCCACTGGCGCACCACCACCGGGAACTGCTTCATCACGCGCTGACCCTCGGCGCCGTGCAGACGCTCCACCTGCAGACCTGGCCGGGACAGACGGGGTCAGCGTACATGATGCTGCGTTTTTATCTCCTTGCACATTACTTTGATGTTATTGCGTGTGCTGTGTAACATGTATGACTCTGTGGCGGTAATAGCCAACCATGTTGGATCCCACATCGATCAGCAATACAATACAATACAATACAATACAATGATACCGGACGGGGTAGTCCAGGAATGAAAACCAGGTCACATGGCTCAGATGGCTCAGAGTCAAGATTACTTTACTACTCGGTCAGTCAGACGGTTTTTCTTTTACCGACGATACTCACTTCGACAAACACCATAAAAGCTGTACTTCACGGAATCGGCCGTATTTCATCAAAATTATGACATCCCTGAATTATAAAACGTTAAATCACAAAGGATGTTTTGACACACACTCAAACCATAAGTGTGCCACCACAACCTGCCGCCGCACCTGTGAAGATGTACTGCGCCAGGAGGTGCAGGAGCGCGGCCGTCAGCGTCTCACGCCGCTCCACGCGCAGCCACAGCGTCTCCGGCATGTCCATCAGCAGTTTGACGCGGGCGCCGATGTCATACAGGCGCCGCTTGCGGTCCTGCCTGTTGGGGGATTGGGATGGGTCAGCAGATGGAGTGGGAGGGGGTTGGGGATGACAGCGAGGTGGAGATGGAAGAGACTGAGAGATAGTAACAAAGGAGGGCATGGAGATGGGAATGGAAGGAAACAAATATCTGGATGGGGGATGGCAGGGGATGAGGACAGGGGCAGGGATGGCATAGGGCATTGCATGGCAGAGAGATTGGGATGGCAGGTCACAGGGTGACAGGAAAAATCAAAGGGTAATAATGGTTGCCTGTGGTAGGTCCTTCAGAACAAGATTGACAGACACCTGTCATAAAAGTTGGTATTTTTCCTGCAGTCATCAGCATGAATGTAACAACAATAAACCAGCTGATGCAGCATCATAAAAATGTTTTCTCTTCATTCTCTTATAACTCAGTTACTTGTCTAAGCTGCAATCCTCCAATTTGTCTTACCTGGCTATGTCCTTATCATCCCTGCCTTTGAATCCAATCAGCCCCTGATGCTGCAAGTGACTGCAGCCAGATTCAATGTGCTTCACATGCTGACAAATCTGTTCTGCACACTTTTGCATGTCCACTATTGAGTCAGCCGCCTCTATCAGGTCTCTGTAACGCTCACTGAAACAGATCAGGGTATAACAATTGATTATAATTGATGCTCATTACCCAGACTGGAAAAAATCCATACTCTTGACACTAGCTGTAGGTACAGTCCACAGCAGAAGTAATGTGTGGTTTCAGTCATGGGTATGTTCTGCTTCTGAAGCCTAGGAACGATTAGCCAGACTGCAACAAGACTTTAAATGTAGCTTACATGTATCTTCACCCTTGCAGCTACAACTTTATCTGTTGACGTCTTCCTTTCATTCAGTCCGCATTTAAAAATCGTCGGTCATAGCCATCCGTTGAGATTGGTAAAACCACACATTACTTTAGCTGTGGGCTGTACTCCTCAGGAACTCCCATGTGCCAAAATTTAGCAGATTTTGTGCCAAAACTTTAACATGATTTGCACTAATAGTTAAACCTTATAAGTGCTGAAATTCAACCTTATCACCATTTAAGCACCTATGTTTAATGCCAGAAACACTGAAAAGTTTTATAACAAATGGCAACGGGACTGTATAAAAGACAAGTTGAACAAAACAATTTTTCTTGAGTTCATAGCTCTTCCAAATTAAGATGAGAGGACTTGAGTCTGGAATACTGGAGCTGGTACATGCATATGATACATTTAATTGCCCCAGCCATTGCTTGTTAAGCGTTGGGTGAGGTTGCATCATTTTCCAAAATTCCTTAGTTGTAGTCGGGTTCAAGTTGCGCTGAAAGTGAAAAAAGACCTAGACCTCACCTGACCATGATTCGCAACTCTTCTCGTTCCTTTTCAATATTCTGTCTGGTTTCTTCCAGCTTTGCCTGGATTTCAGGCACAGAACATTGTTCAAATAATGCTTGTATGTCCATGGTAGAGCTGAAATGGCAGAACCAAAATGAGCTGTCCGTTTTGGCGATGGTGTCATACACTTAGCAATTTAACTTAACATTCTTGTCAAGAAACACAGTATCAGACATCACAAATACCTCATTCTGATTTCAATCAAAATTCTAATCTAAAGAGTGAAGAGCAAGACCCTGATAAGAGAGAGAGACTGAGGATTGGAAGTCAATCCCCCTCTCCAGACACGTATCACATTGGCTATGTTGAATATCAATAAAGTGTTCAAGTAATAATAAAAACGCTAGCGTTGATAGCTGCTTACTGCAAGGTCCTCCCTTGATTTGCGGTTAGCATCAAACTGCATCAGTATTGGAGCATTATAAACATAATATTCATCAATATTATGAATTAGCTGAGCCAGATATGTCGAAAGAAGTCAGCTGATTGAAAGGTACAGCACTACGAATTTATTCTACCGAGTCGCATGAATTTCGCATTCATGATCCGCATTTTTTCTCGAGAAATTCTCGAGAATGGACTACGGTTTTGAGATTTTCTTCCTTATGACAATCGTCTATTAGTTACTACATACACCCAATGAGTGGCCTTTGCGATGTCAGTCAGGTCAGCATCTCACTGTATTTAGTTGGAAATACCCTTGCTTGGGAACGTCATTCAGTCATTGATGTTCAAATTAGATTCTAACACTTGGTAAATGAATGGCCGAGTCAGGCTATAGTCTATTTAAGGCCCTAAATCAAAACATTTAAATCATATCAAATATTTTTTATTTCGTAACAGCCAACGATTCTGAGTCCACATCGTCTGAGAACAACTCGAACCACTTTCGTTCGAACTCTTCACATGACACCTCCCACTGCACGACGCCATCCACTTTCTCCTGGAACTTTGAGCTGCCCCGGTCCACAAACTCATCGTCGCCCTGCGCCGGCGCGGGGCCGGCGCCCCACATCAGCCGCTGGCGCAGCCTGGCGTTCAGCTCCTCGGAGGCGGGCTCCTCGCCGGCCAGTGCCGCGTCCACCTCCCGTAGTCGGCCGAGCGCCGCCTCGGCTACAAACGAGCGGGCCGCGCGCGTCGCCTCGGCCAGCGCCGCGCGCGCCCACAGCAGCGCGCCGCGCCGCAGCCGGCGGCTCCGCTGCGGCCGGTGTCCGGCGTCCGCCAGCGCTCCGTACGTGTGGGCCAGCGCCAGCCACGCCAGCGGGCTCTGCTCGTCGGCGGCGACGGCCGCCTGCTGGAGCGGCAGGGCGCGCTCGGGCCGGCCCAGGCGGCGCTGCGTGTCGCCGGCCAGAGCCGCCCACACCAGCAGGTGGTCGCGGTTCTGCAGCAGGCCGCGGCTGCGCTCCAGGTGCAGCAGCGCCTCCTCCGGCCGCCCCAGCCTCAGCAGACAGCGCGCACAGCTGTCCAGCAGCTCCCGCGTACTGGCACTGTTCCTCGTACTGCGATCCAGGAGCAGCTCGTAGATGGCAAGGGCCTCTGCGTGCCGTCCGTCCACAGCCAGCTTGTTGGCGTGGAAGTAGAGCGGCATCTGGTTATCATCTGAGGGGTCTGGCAGCTGGCTGGGATCAGCATACCACCGTGGGTCTTCAAACTTGGGCACATAGTCGGCTGCAGTGAATGCTGGTCGTTTGAGTGAGCTTTCGGGCTCCAAATCATCATCGCTGAATTGCAGACCAAGATCCATTTTGGCTACCTGGGAAACAAATATTAATATAGTAAGGCATGTTGCAGGCTTAATGTTCAAGGTTTTTCCGGAGTTATTCAAGAGGACTCCCCGACTATATGATATATCCTTTCTGAAACCTACCGTACATCAGAAACGAAAGGGGCACTGGGGGCACTTATCAGAGCGTTCGGTGCAGGTGCAGTGATGTGTGACATCTGGCGTCGGTCGGACGAGCCAGATCGGGTGCTTACCACAGCGCCAGTCAAGTCAGAGATCCAGCGATTTGCGCCGTATTTCATGGGAAACCAGCAGCAGGACGCCCAAGAGTTTCTTAGATACCTGCTGGAAGGCCTGCATGAGGATACCAACAGTGACTAGACGGCCAAAGCCCATCACAACTGGCACCGAAGACTCGCTGAGTGCCAGCGCCCAGCCAGAAGTCCATTGAAGCCTGGAACCGCTTTGTGCGCCTGGAAAACTCAAAGTTCGTGGATCTGTTTGTGGGCCAGCCAAAATCGACTTTAAGGTGTCATGTGTGCAGTCACGAGTCGGTCATTTTTTTACCCTTTCTGGGACCTGTCACCTGAGCCTGCCAATTTCGTCGCAGACCGACCGGCTGCACCTGCAGTCGAGCTTTGACCTCTTCACCGAGTAGGAGGTGCTGGATGGCGACGAAACGCCGACTTGCTCTGAATGTGAAAAGTGCCAGAAATGCACAAAGAGCATCTCAATTCAGAGATTTCCGCAAATCTTGGTGGTGCACCTGAAGCGTTTCTCGCCGCACAAAAGGTCTTGTGACAAAGTCAGCACCCTCATTGACTTCTCCGCAAATGGACTTGACCTAACATCCTACTCGGCTGGACAGAATCCATGCCAGTATAACCTTTACGCGCCCCACTGTGGTCTGCGTATAACGCGCCCTATGGGGGGGGGGGCTATTCATAGCCCATTTTAAGCATGTTGTGAGTGCCCAAACAGGTAATTGCAGGCTAGGGACCCCAATCTGGCTATCTCAACTCAAAACTAATGCTAAGGTGGGATAGTCATTAGTCACTTAAACCATCTGGGCACCATATCCTCAGGACATTACATCGCCTACTGCAAGCACCCACACACATCCGAGTGCTTGCAGTATGAGTTCAGTGATGCAAGGAAGGGTGCATCCCATTAATTATCCAGCTGAGGTCAGGGGCGAAGCCAAGCTGGATGGCGCCTTCCACGATCATTCTGGGCGCCGAAGGCGCCTTTTCAGTGTCCAGCACTCTAGGCGCCCTCGACGGTAAGCCATTGCGGCACACCTTCCTTGCTCGGCATTTATAACGTCCTCCTGAACCGAAATTGGCGTCCTACTGACCCAAAAGTGGCGCCCCCTGAGCCGAAATTGGCGCCCTCACCAATTCTAGCCCCCTCCAAAAAAATTCCTGGCTCGCCCTTGGTTGAGGTCCTCCTGCGGCAGTGTCCCAAAATTGTAGCTTGGCTTGGGTGTCAGAGGGGAAATTTACCTCCAAAAAAGGCGGATAAGAGCGATTTTTTATTTTTTCGATTGCACATGAGATATATTGTGTCGCAATGCACATTGCACAGCTTCTCGCAGCTGCATTGCCAGACAATGTACACGACAGACCGTGTGCCGCGTGGAGGTCACCTCTCCTAGCAGACTCTGCTTAACCGAAGCCGTCGCGGCACAGCCATGCGGCCGCCGGTGTCAACAGTGGTGCTGAAGGCTGTCGCACTGGACTTGGAGGCTGTCGTGTTGGAGTCCGGAGAAAAGACACACAGCAAAAACCTCGCCTTAATGCCATGCTAGCATATTCAGGACTCCATCTGGTCCTGCCGTGTGCGGCCTTCGGGTTTGCGGTGGCGGCTGGCCTGCCAGCGGTCGATGTAGCGCTGGCGGCCAGCATAGTCGGGTGGCGCGCCCAGCTCTGCCGCCGTGCGCGGCACGCCCAGCGTCTCCGGCAGCATGAACGGCTTCAGCCACAGCACCAGCGGCGACACGCCCGGCCAGTAGTGCGCCGCGCGGTGGAAGAACAGCGCCCCGTCGGCGGCGGCGGTGGCGGTGGCCGCCAGCTCGGCAGGCCCGCACGCCGTGTGGCTGATCGCCACGAAGCGGTACGGGTTGCTGCGCGAGGCGACCCCCACCTCCGGCGTCTCTGACAGCTTCGTCTGCAGCCACGTGAAGCGGAACTCTGCCTCGCATTCGAACACCTGGTGGCCGTTCCAGGCGAGCAGGTCGAGCACGTGGAACGTGCCGGCCGCCTGGTCCCAGATACAGTCGAGCACCGTGGGCCGCTGGCCGAGTGGGCCGCGCCAGCCGGCCGGCAGCCGAGACGGGAACGTGCGCAGCAGCGCGCCGGCGGCGCTGTACGAGCGCGTGCACCGCCGTTTGGCCACGACCAGGCACCGTTTGCCCGGAGGACACATCTTGAGCAGCCAGTCGGTGTGCAGGTCGGCCGGCACCGTCTCCATCCACTCGGAGAACATCAGCTGGTTCGAGTACTGCGACTGATAGAAGCCCTGTTTTCTGTAGCTGAAGGTGGGGGGCAGTGCGGCAGCGTCCAGCGCCCCCTCGTCATCGTCCGCCGTGATGGCCCGCAGACGATCCAAGCGACCATCCCGTTCGCGTTTCTGGCGCTGCAGCAGCTGGCTGCGCCGGCACTGCTGGCTGACGGACGCCCGGCCGGCGTTCTTGTACTGCGCCAGTCGGGGGGCGTGGAGCGGCTCGTCGGGCTCGGCACCGCTCGCCAGCCGGCTGTCGGCTAGCTGCGAGGCCAGCTGCTCCATCACGGTACACCGCCAGCAGTCTAAACCGAAATAACACCCACATAAATCTGTTAATCTTTGACTTGAGATATTTGTATCATGGCCCTAATGTCCAGGAAAATTGCTACCTATTACTATGGACGTCAAACCCCTTGAGACCCCACTTTTTTGCGATAATTTTTAAATGCGTCAACTCTCGTTGACAATATTCTGGCAATGTGTGTTTCAGAACCTGCCGAAACTTTTATTACTAAGGTATTTTGACGCCAAACGATTATGAAAGGTACTTCTCATTCACTCGTAATGTTAAATTTCATGGAACGAACCTGCTGTTTGGGTAGAGGCTACGCGCTCATGGGGCGGAGCCACGTAATGACGTCAGCGCTAAGCTCCGCCCTACCCCTCCGGCGCTCCTTGCCCGGCGACCGGTCACTCGCGTCTCTCGCTCCATTCAGGCTTGATGGTGAGCGGTAGCTGGTAGCGGTAGCGGGCGCTGGTAGATGGCATTTAGAGCAGATGGCGCTGGTGGCGGGGCTCGAGTGTGGCCGAGCGCAAGCCTCTACCCGGGCCTGGATTGACCTTAGCATTACGAGTGAATGAGAAGTACCTTCCATAATCGTTTGGCGTCAAAATACCTTGGAAATAAAAGTTTCGGCAGGTTCTGAAACACACATTGCCAGAATATTGTCAACGAATGTTGACACATTTAAAAATTGTCGCAAAAAAGTGGGGTCTCAAGGGGTTTGACGTCCATAGTAGATAAGGCCCAAAAAGAGTGGGAAAGGGTCCAATGGCAAACATTTATTGTTTATATACAAGCTTGGTAAAATGTAGGATGTAAAATGATCACCCATGCAAATGCTTTTTCTCAGTAAAATTGGGGGGTGGAAAATTGCTCATAAAAATTAGGGATAAGAGTGCACAATGATTTTCATTTGGATGTCACTTCCCACCCAAATCAACACATTTTGGGACACTGTCCTGCAGTGAGGCGTATACATCCTCTTTTTCGAGCTGGGTAGTGTGTCACAGACTCACAGCTGTAGAAAAGCATGTGTCGGTCATTTCCCTCTTTTGCACTCTTTTAAACTGAAGAAATTCACAAAACAAAATCATGAAAGAAAGAACACATCCTTCTAAGGTAAAAAAAATTAGATTACACATAAAATACTTAAAAATCGATACTTATTACGGAGCGAGCGAAGCGAGCGTAGTCTTTCCTTAGATTAAAGGTAGTGTGCCAGCTTTCTTGGACCGTATGGAGTTAATGGCCCAGATAAGGAGAACCGGATTTTTAGAACTTATCCATACCTTCAAAACTCATGGAAACGTCTTAAATTCTTCAAATTTTGAGTACCCCAGTGCGAAATTCGCCCCGACGGGTTGTCGGTCGTACCCCAACCACATTTCACACCACTATGAACAATAAATGCACACACTGAAATCGCTATTACCGATATGCTCATCCAATCAAGTTTCGATAAACCCGTTCATCATCATCTCCTGCGGTTTCGAACACGCCTGTTAGGTGGCTTCTGATGCTCGTCGAGGTCGGAATTTCCAAATACGCGTGGTGCGTCGGGCCGCGCGCTCTGACTTCGGCCAAGAAAAATGCGTCAGCTGATCATTGTCATTTCTGCCACTTGCGTGTGGTGAAATGGGGTCATAACTTATAAGACGGCTTTTTCATATCAATTATTTTACATAAAATCATATTTCAAACCATAAATAATGTTCGACAGCCAAATAAAAGAAACAATACCAATACGGGCTTACAGTTTAAGGCTCGACATTGTGTTGTCTACGATTAGACAGCTGATAACTCATTCCCGTACGTCGTATGGTCGTAAGTAGGTCAGGGTAAATATTTTCTTAAGGACCGGCACACTTTTCAAAGGTAAATTTTTAGACATTCTTCCATTATTTGACATCCTAATCAAGATATGATGCTTACATGTCACCAAAACTACAAAAAGCCACAATAATTTGATAAAACCCACCCACTAGAGTTGCAAAGTTTTCCCAATGGGCTGCTACCGGCACCGCCCCGCCCCACAAAAATTTTCTGGGATACCGGCATGCTACCACGCCCCAAGCAAAAAAACCGCCAAATTACCGGCATACCAAAAAACCTGCATTCTTGATTCTGGCTAACCCCTACATGACATGCCACATTTTGGCAATTTCAGTAACCGCTCCACCCAGCAGCCACCCATTGTCCAACCAAAATTACCAGCAGCCTGATGTTGGCTGAGTTCACCCCA